CAGCTCTACCCACTGAGCTAACTTTAAAGTAAAATTGGTGAATTTTTCATTTAATTATTGATTTTACAAACCTGCTGCACTGATATGGCAATAACAGCTTGGAGTACTTAAACATAAGCAATGTGAAAGAATGATATAAAAACCACACTGAAGTGTGATTTCTCATGGCTCAGCTAGATCAGCCTGAGATTTTCATGTCATATGTCAGCGACTCAAATGCTACAATTCTGTGGTAATGTATATTATTTGCTTTCAGAAATGAAATTACAGGATATCACCAGCAAGATCGGCCAGCAGTGGAGAAACATGAGCCCAGAACAGAAACAGGTATGTTCAGTGCTTTACGTATTTAGGTATTTCAGTACTTTACTTGTTGAACATTCTAAATTGTGCTTTTTATTGACGTTTTTAACTGTGCCTGTACGGCATACATTGATGGTAAGGCAGTGTAGTGAGTGGCAAATTATTTCTCTGATAGTGTTTAAGTGTAAAACACATACACAGCACAGTCTCTTCGTATACAGGGTTTTGTTGTTTGTTGTGACCAAAAGGTTTCTGTTGGTGTCCCTCTCCCTTTCAGCCGTTTATGGAAGCCTATGTGCGGGACATGTCGCTGTTTAAGGTAAAGCATGAGCGCTACTGGGCCGAGATAACCCCAGAGAGGCGCCAGAAACTAACCCTGGAGAAAAGGGAGAAAATGGCCAAGCGTTTAGCCCGACGCCAAAAGAAGGTAAGAGAGATGGGAGTAGCTGGGGAGCAGTGCCGGGCTGCTTTTTTGTCAAGAGGCAGGTTGTTTGAAATGACATACTGACGTACTATTCATACCAAGTATGACGTCAATTGAAGTGCGTTTCAACTGCATAGTATATGAATTATGTGTATGCAAGAAATACCCTAATGTATACTACACATATGTAATCATCTCAAAATGTTCTCTCCTCAGACTGGTCAGATAGTTCTCACCAGTTTTTGACTATTTCCATACGCTATTCCACCACTAACTTCCCTTCTGGCACATGCAGAGCACACACAGAGTAGACTGTGACATCAACTGTTATATTGTGTGTGTGTGTGTGTGTGTGTGTATTCCAGGAGGCAGGCAAACTGGGGAAGCCCAAACGTACTCGCTCTGCAAACAACATTTACATGGCAGAACACTTTGAGGATTGCAGAGGAACCACCACAGCGGTAACCAACACAACATTTAATGGTTCACATTGTTTGACATAATGAAGTATGACACACTCACTAGTTGGGCTGTCACAAGAACCGATACCTTGCTACCAAGTCCATACCAAAATTCTGAAAACGTGACCATAATCATTTTTCTACAGTACCGAAGGTTCAATGATGCAATTCTTCCGGACCTGAAAGTACAGCTTATACGCATACAAATATTCTAGCCGGCCATTAAATGTGACTTTCGTGCACAGTCGTCAACTCTCTCCTCTTATCTACGTCTCTTTTGCTCTGTGTGTGTATGTGTCTGGGGCTTTTGTTGGGGTATTGTATAGCCTACTTGTTATTATTTATTATATTGTTTGCCTATTAAATATAGATTTTGATCTGATACTCAATATTAAATAGGGATTGGGGCAAAAAAGACTTGAAGAAAACATTTTTACTGTCGTATTGGTATCAAGTATCGTGGAATTTCACTAGTATTGGTATGAAATAATATATTTCCGGTATCGCGACTCACTGACATCCCTACTCACTGGTAGTAATTGATACATGGACTGCTCTTCCAGTGAAAAGTCACAGTATGGCTCTGAATTAACAGCTGTAGTTGTAATTTCTCCAAATACCACCACTGACACTAAGTTAGTTGTGTTTTCAGACAGCAGGACAAGAATTAACTAGTGCAGCGGTCCCCAGCCTTTTTTGAGCCACAGACTGGTTTCATGTAGGACAATATTTTCACGGACCGGCCTTCAAGCTGTAGGGGATAAATACGCGTTGTTTCTCCGCAACAAGCTGGTCCCATCTAGGGGTAATGGGAGACAATGACACCCGAAGTGTATTCCTTATGTCCAGT